AATGATAAAATGTTGAGGGCTGATTAAGGCATCTCCCATTATACCAAGACGCACTTTGTTTCCATGCTTGTGCAGAGTTATAGACATGTCTAAAAATATAATATATATTACAGCTTGATAAAAATGTGGCCTAATAAAGACAATGTAAACACCGATAAATTAAACATACTGCAGTTTCCTTGCGGTGGTCGCCAATAAATCGCTCCATCTACGCCTTCTATTGGTAAATCCCCGTCGACGTGAGTTAAGCACAAGGAATATCTTCGTGACAATTGATTTAAAAGTAATTTCAGAACGATTGATGGCAAGCAGGATGAGATCAATCCGCGGGACGTTTCTGCTGCTGTGATAGCGTAAATCGCACTCTGTCTAGACCTGACTTCCTGGACGTTTCGTTGAATCACCTTTAGAAAACAGTGCAGTGAAGAGAATTGAATGAGCTTTTTACACGAGTGAATGTCTATCGGATTCTTACCTGCAGCATTTCAATGAAATCATCGTGAAAGAACGGCGTCTTGGTAGGTAAGGCGAGACAGAGGATACCTCTGGCTTCGTGATTTCGCAGGAACACCGCTCGTTGACTCACAAATTTCACAGTTGCGAACACATCATCTGGTATGCTGAAACCCGAATGCTTAAAGTATTCCTTCAGAGTGTCCACGGTGGACGTCAAAAGAATTTCCGTTTCAGTTGCACCGGTTATGTTAGCAATTTGCCGAACGAGCTCGATGTCGACTTCCTCCGACCAAGCCACGACTTTTCTACCGCACGATGAGATAGTCTGCAGTTGATTCGACTGTGGATGCTTCAAAAATAATTCTTCGACGATAATCTTCGGCGCAGTCACGGCTATCCAACTGATAGATACGACCTCTCGAAATGCTTGAAATGCCAAAGGAACGTAACACGAGAGCATGTACGTCAAGGTGTTCGAATAGTAATGCTTGTGCCGCGATTTCAAAGCTCGTAATTCTCGAACGAGCAAAAAAGGCATTTTCAAAACTGACGTGATCACAATGTACCAAGACAGAGCAATGCAAAAATAAATGATGTCAATCGGATTGAAAGACTTCATGATGGATTCAAGTATCAAGCGAAGATTGAAATTTCTCTTGCTCGACTCACGTTGAACAATCGATAGAAGCTCTAGAATTTTTAGCCCATCCGATTTTCGGCATTGTCTAAAGAAAGTTACAAAGAAGTTAAAATTCAAACATGACATAGTCGTTAATGTTACTATTATTTTAGATATTTCAAGAGACATTTTTATTTTACGGTAACATGAGATAAAAATTTAATAAAATTGTTGAATAAAAAAGAAGAATGGTCGCAAAAACGAAATACCTGACCAGTTCCTTCAAAGTGCAGACCAGCACTATCATCGAGATCTTTACGCACTGCAACACTCCTATCCGCTTCTTCAAGATCTCCGGTCGTTCGGTCGGATCATTATTGTAAAGAAAATCGTTCCAATAATTGCTGAAGCTTTCGATGAGCATCTGTCGAAGGCGTGGTAAAGCGGAAGGTTGTATGTACAAATTGGTGAACGGCGAATCGCTCTCCTGACACGTCCAGTTGTCCGTCGAATATTTCAATGGTAAAAAATCCGCCAAAGTCAAATGCTCCTGCCGCAGGAGCAAATGATGCGCTCGCACAAGACATATCTGACGTTCCTCACCTCGCAGAAAGCAATTCACTACGTGCACTTGCCACGGCGA